TTGTTGCCGGTTTTGGCCGACAGACGACAGACGTTTGGCCAAATGTCAAGCAACGTCTGCGACTGTCTGCAAATTGTGTGTGAGAACATAGTTTTTTCCCCATATCGTTTTCTGGTGGTTCGAAATGGATTCGAGACCGGGGCCAGGGTGGCCCACAGTCGGACTTTATCTGCGCGCCACCACCCCATCCATTGCCTTTTTATTTATACGTTAAAATTGTGTGCAAACAGCAGCGAAACGAGCAAAACGGCGAAAAGAGCAGCAGCGCACTGCCAATAAAAGCGGCAAAAAATACTGCGCAAAGTGGTTGGCTTTGACACTGCGGCTTTGACACTGCGCCGCGGTCTTGGTATCGAACTCGAACTCGGACTTGGACTCCGGCTCGGACGCGGACTTCTCTTAGCCAACTACTGGGCACTGCGGCCAATTTGCTTGCCAAAGTCTCCCCGGAGGTGCGGATCGAGGTGTAGCAACGGCAGCAACTTATAAAGCCATTAATAACCCGCGCATTTTCAACAGTTTTGGCGACCGGCGGAGGAGACCGGAGATCGGAGATTGGTGACTGCTGGAGATCGGCGACAATGTCATGGTTCAGCCATCAATTGCGTTTGCTTATTAGAGAGATGTTTGTTTCACAGTCAATGCGATGCTCGCTGTAAATGTCGGCGAGGGTAGACACATAAGTTAAGCTAAGGAATAAATTAGAAATGCAATAAATAGCAAAATAAAGTTTTCAGAAATGGAATACAACTCGGTTGATGTACAGTATTATTAAATAATTTTAGATGTTAATAGAAAGCTTAATAAATTTTCCCCATTTTATAAAATTCTTTAAACTTCTGCCTCTTCGTTCCCCAAAGCTCACTTACATATATCACAATGATTTCCCATATATAGCATGCCCGCATTATTTGTCTAGGTGTCTGCCGATCCAGCGCAGTAAGTGCCTCCACTGTCGAAGGCGTCGGATGGCGGCCCCCGCACCACCGATTCACCTTTAGCACCACCGAACCACCTTCGGCACCACTGGCACCACCTCCACCTGCCGCATCCCAATTTGTGGCTTGTTCGCTTGCACTTTACACACAGTCACAGCTTAATTCGCTGGTGGGAGTATCTCTCTTTCTTCATGCACACTCGTATATAGCATATATATCTATTTTTGTGGGTAGTTAAAAAGAATTTCCAACGCTTTTGAGTGCATTCGACTTACGTATTCGAGGGCTCCGTTGAGAGGCAATAAATTTTGTAATTAGCGCCAGGTTTTATAATAGCAAACGCACTGATTTGGCTCGGAACGGAATAAAAAACCCAAGTACACCTATATAACTTTATGTATGTACTTCCCATCTCGATAGTGTTGTTCATCTGTCTTTTCCTTTGTTTTCTTTGCAGAACTGTCGCACACGAACGCACACGGCCAGAATTCAGAAAACGAGAAAAAAAAACAACCAAGAGGAGCGCGGAAAAGAAAATGAAAATTCCCAAAGGAAGCATAGATAATGAGCACAGAGTCCCCGGCACTCCGAATGTCAGTGAAAAAGTCGCCCAGCCGAAGCCAAAAGCCAAGTCACATCAACCGAAAGTGTGGCCCAATCACAGGTCCGGATTGGAGAAGTTTTCAGTTTTTGAGGGCTTTAAAACTGTCTAAGTTATTTAAATAAAAAAATATACGAAATTTAAAACATTTTCAATATTTTTATACTCAAAATCTTAAGCTCTTTAAAGTGAAAAACTGGGATAAGAACATTTCAATATTTGCCTGAAATTAGATGTCAAAGCAATTACGTTTGGAATAATGGTTTATCATTGCTTAATTGTTTACCAACTTTTTTATATTTACATTTTATATCTACACTTCCAATTGATAATTGGATAAATCTAAAGTTATTTTTTATGAACAGATAATTGTTAACGTTTTTGGTTGGTTACCCTTTTCTTATTTTGAAATCCCCACCCAATTCCTGGACAATCCGCTCCTGGGGGATGGTCAGTCGGCCAGTTCGTCAGCCAGCTTTCGGGTGACGTGGACTAGTGTCAGCCATTTTGGTCAGAACTGCGGCACCGCTGCCACAATGGCAATATACCCGTCCATTGTGGCGCGACTCTCCGTTACCAACTTCTGCCGCCTGCTAGCCAGCTTCTGGGTCTCTCAGCTGCTGGCAGCAGCTTTTGTTTTTAGCCATTGTTAGTGGGACGTTGCTTCTGCCGGCTTTGCAACATTTGAATGATTCTCGTTGGTCGTGTCAGTCCCACGGGTAATTATTGACACGGTTGTATGCACGCAGCCCAAAAAGCACACACAGCACAGTGAAATGTACAAAAGCAGGCGGCGTGTTGCTTTGCCACGCGAAATAATAAAAAACCAACTCCACTCGAAATAATAATGAAAATGTCGGTTTTTACCTCGAGGAGGGGTTTCTCCACATAGATATAGCCGCGGATATCGGGGAGGGTGTGCTGTCGCACTTTGCACGCACGGCAGCATTAAAACCAATGAAAACTACAATTTGCCCTCGTATATTAGTGGTTTCTTCTATCATCAAATAATGTGGAATGTGCTTTAACTATGGAGTCGTTCTATAAAAAGTTTCATTAAAAAAGAAGGAATAAAGATATGAATTATATTATCCATTAAAATTCATTAATCAGTAGGATATTCCACTTATTCTATCGGACAATCATGTAAAAAGAACACAATAGTAAAAAAAAACTTTACGTATATTTTAGGTGCTCTATTATTATACTACATATACCACATTTGAGTAACTTATTTAAATCAACCAAATCCATTAACTATGATTAATCAGTCAGGAATTCCCCTTAATTTCTGTAGGACAATCCTCCGAAAATCCCATAAATTCTTAAAGCGTATTTCAACTAGCTCGTGACCATTAAAAACCTTTCCTTTCCGTTTTCCATATAAAAGTTTATATAGCCCGAGGGGCAGGTTTCATCTACACGAGTGGGTGTGTGTTTTTGTGTGTGTGTGCTTCAACTACCCCAAAATGGCAGGTGGCAATAGATAAACGTATAAATAGGCTTGTGGGCAGCCATGTTGTTTCCCCATTAAATTTCATTTCATTTTGCCATCTACTTTTTTTGTTAGAAAATAATTAAGAGAGCATAGAGAATAATTATATGGGTGGAAATATAATACTACCTATATAATGTTCGAGTGCACGAAGCGCATCGCGTGGGTGTTTTGCTTGATGTAGAAAATATAATTTTCATTTTCATTTTTATTTTCCATTTGCTGTTCGGTTTATTGAAACATTATGAACCACGCGCCAAAAGTTCAATTGAAACGAAAACAACAGCAGACATATTTGTTTTGTTTAAGCATTAATGCCGTCGCATAAATAAAAATCATTGCACTTGCGCTCCTGTATTATATATTATTGTTATTATTTGCTGTTTGTTATTGCTTTCGCGGCTGTTGTTTATATATATTTAAGCCTAAAACTGGCTTTCAATTATGCGAATTTATTTCGTACACAAAAGCGGGTGAGGACTCGGGATATATTTACAGGCTGATGCAATTTTTATGCAGAATTACTAACCAATATCATTTCGGTACGAAATTGTTAATCAACATCCAATGAAATATGCATTTAAATTATGAATTAAATGTTAAAAGCGTGCAGCACATTAGGTGGCAATGAGGTGGCAGGGGGCAATGTGCAGACGAAACAAATTTAATGATATTTTATGATTCTGTTTAGCACTTTTGGGGATCACGAAAAGTTTAACTAAAGCACTATTTAGTTTTTGGGAGTTTATCGTAATTAACTAAGTTGTAAAAGTTTTTTGTATCCAAGTCTTAAGTGATTTATAAAAAAATAAATATTATCTTAACTTATCAATTCCCCTCTTTTTGAGGAATTAAATAAATCGCAACTGACCCCGTAAATCTGGCGGATTGTCACTTTTATAGCCTGTCGATTGACGTCGGTTATTTTTTGTTTTTGTCGGTTGTGCATTGACCACTGACAAACAGAGAGCCATCAATGCTTCCAGCAGCACTTAAGGCCTTATAAAAAGGTAATTTCACGAAATGCCACGCTTTTTAATGGCAACTTTCATTAACGAGCCCAATAACTCGATCTCCGAGGGGTGTTGTTAGTTAATTGCCAATTGCTCGCTCTCTGACGTAGGCAATCGCATTATAATATGCCCACTTAATTGTTTAATGGCTTTCCGAACACTTAAAGCAAACAAACGAAATTAATAATACGCGCAATTATCGCGATTCCATTGATATAAACGCCCTATCGTAACCAGCATCTGCAAAAGGTGGCCGTAAAATTCCTGTAAAACTGTCAAAGCCAACGACTCATAAACTGCTGAACCAAAAACAGGCAAAAATAAACGAAAGCAAATTAAGCCGCTAATTAAATAATAATAAAAGGACGGTTTTTTTCTGAATAATATTCTTTTTTATTTGTTTTTTTAAGAGTTTTTTTTTGCTTTTTAATTTTTTCTTGGTTTTCCTCTGTGTGGATGTGTGTGTGGGTGGAAATGCACCGCTTTGTTGACTTTGCTGTTGCATATATATGTACGTCTATATAATTTATTATACAGTTGAGGGCATGGCTTAATCTTAAATATTCGGCTTCGCTTCTCTCGCTCTTATACCATAGTTTTCAAAATACCAAAACAAAGTACACTAAACAAAAATTTCGATTAATTCTAGAATATAAAATTACACCCAAAAGATAAAGTTTGATTTTCTTCTTTTTTTTGTAAATAAGAAAATAGAAAAAGTACACTAAAATGTAAACGTATATCAAAAAACACAAAGAGGATTTTTTTTACATAATTTTCATTTATTTTTGTGGTTGAAATAATTTCAATTTTGTTGTTTAGCATTTAGGTTGCCGTTTGTTTTTAATGTACATCAATTAATATATTACAATTTAGCATTTGTTGTATTTGATTATTATTGGTTTGTTTAAATTTTAAGATTTAGCTATATTCTTGTTTTTATTTTCCATTCGATTTCCTTGCTTATATAGAAAGTACAGTACTAAGTAACTAAACTTCACGTGCCTATTCATTAAAAATTACCGCCTAAAAATTACAATTTATATTTTATAAATGTTATTCTTTTTTTTTGCTGTTGTGGTTGTATTTTTATGATTTTTTCTTAAGGGGTTTATTAAAAAATCTACAATTGCATTTAAAGCTAAAAAATATGACTTAACTGTAAGTTTTTATTTACAGATGTTTTGGGGTTTTTCATATTTTACTTAATCCTCTTTTCATCTCGTATTTTTGTTTACTTCGCCGCGCGTTAAATTCTACTTTTTTCGTGTTTGTTTCTGGTTTTACGTTTTGTTTGTTTATAAATTTTTTAGAGTACAATCTACTGGCTATATATATATAATATATATAAACACGGCTTGCTTAAGAACCTATACCCTAGCTAGAACCGACCGAGTTGTCTTACTGCTGCCATTCTTATTGAGCCTTTTTTTTTAAACTTGATCTAGACGGCGACAAAGTGTTGAACGAAAAATATTTTGTGGACTTTTGGGCATGGAAACATTTACCTTGCTTATGGAGAGCAGCTGAGGAATTTGTTTTCTTTGCTTGTCTTTTTTGGTTTCTTTAACACTTGCGTCGCACTTTTAACTAGTTTTCTTTTTCGTTTTCGTTTTCTTTATCGTTTTCATTTAGTTTAATTTTTAGCATTTAGTTTTTAGGTTAAAACAACATCACTTGGTTTCACGTTTGATTTGAATTGCGTGTTTCTTTCGCTTTATACAAAGGAAATTTTTCGTTTACATTTAATTTAGTTAATTTGATTTAATTTAAGCAAGTTTTTCAAACTTTAAAACAAACTAAACTGGTGGATGGCAGCCTCCCATCTCCTCCACTCCCTGCTCCTCTTTAAGCTGAAGTTTAACACAGATTAATGCACTGGTAAAAAAGATGATCTCTCAACCCCATCTTCGAAACTCATCTTATTTCTATTTTTTAATAGTTCTACCTACAGTCGAACTTGTCTAACGAAAATTTTCAATAAATTTTATAAAACTTCCTCAAAATTATTAAAGTGCCACTAAATTTCTGAATATAGTACTAAAAACTTCACTGATCCATAGAAATTTTGAAAGACAGTATTGGAAAAAACCCAAAAGTGTTTTTTTTGACTTACGAAAAATTCTAAAATTCCCAAAGTTAGCTATAGGTAACTATTTCTTGGGCCAAAAAATTCACGTTAGAGAAGCTCGACTGTGAGGTTCTAGGGCTGCTCCCGCTTGAACTGCGGCCACCCGTTCGACGCCGAGTCCTAGGAGGACTCATAGCCGAACCAGGCGGCCGACGAATGCTATTCCCCGCCCGCTCCGCCCGCCCCGCCGAAGCTGTTGAAGTGCCGTACCGCTCCGGGCGCCGCCGCCGCTCCAAATTGCAGACTCAGCTCGAAGAGGCGGCGGGCGTGCAACTGCTGCTGCTGCTGCTGGTGGTGGTGGTGCTGCTGGTGATGGTGGTGCTGGTAGTGGTGGTGCTGGTGCAGCGGATTCAGATTGAGATGGCCGCCGAGCACCGAGGAGGCGGATCCCGCCGGCGATGCCGAGCTGGGCGGCTGGAGCGGCAGACCGCTATTGCTGCCGGCGCCCGGCGACAATTGCGAGTTGCTGCTGCCACCGCCGACGGGTTGCTGCTGCGAGTGCTGCAGCTGGTCGCTCGTGTGGAACAGGTGCGGATGGTGGGCGGGATTCAGGTGCGGATGCTGGTGCGGATGCGGATGCGGGTGATGCGGATGCTGGTATCGCATGGGATCCATGTACATGGCTGCTGCAGCGGCTGCAATACTGGATGCCTGCTGTTGTTGTTGCTGTTGCTGTTGCTGTTGTTGCTGTTGCTGGTGGTGTTTGACTTGCTCCTCGGTATTGTTGTTGTTATTATTATTGTTATTATTGGTGCTGCTATTGTTGTTGTTGTTGTTGTTATTGTTGTTAGCCTGATTGCCAGCGGAGGAGCTGCCCAGCGGACTCTGCGGCGACATCACCTGGCTGGTCATCGTTGCCGACGAGCCCGCACTGGAAGATGGTGTGTTCGGTGTGTGTTGCTGCTGCTGATGTTGTTGCTGTTGCTGGTGTTGCTGCTGCTGCTGCTGCTGCTGCTGTTGTTGCTGCTGCTGCTGCTGTTGCTGCTGGCTTAGACTATTGAGGGATGCAGGAGTGGACGCAGCTGCAGCTGAGTTCGACTCCTGGATTTCTGATTGCTAGTGGGCCGCCAACTGGTGCGCCGCCACCGCCGAGGATTGCATATTCTGGGGGCTCAGCATCGGCGGGCTGTGCGAGTGGGAGTGGGTGCCCATCGGGCTGCCGTGCATGTCGTGGTGCGGATGGTAGCCACCGTGGTGCATGTGACTGGGCGGCATTCCGTCCATCATGTCGCCGCCGAGCGTGTTCGGTGGGGTCATCCGCTTCTCCTTCTGCCGCCGATTGCAGAACCACACGCGCACCACCTCCTTCTCCAGCTGCAGCGAGTCCGCCAGCGAGGTGATCTCCTGCGCCGACGGCTTCGGCTGCTTGTGGAAGTGCTGCTCCAGCGCCCCCTTCACGCTCACCTCGATGCTGGTGCGTTTCTTGCGCTTGCGCCCCTGGGCGGCGATCTTGTCAATCGACGTCGGCGATCCCGTTGTCGAGTCCGCCTCCTCCAGCCACTTCTGCAGCAGCGGCTTCAGCTTGCACATGTTCTTGAAGCTCAGCTGCAGCGCCTCGAACCGGCAGATCGTCGTCTGCGAGAACACATTCCCGTACAGCGTGCCCAGGGCCAGGCCCACGTCCGCCTGGGTGAATCCCAGCTTGATGCGCCGCTGCTTGAACTGCTTGGCGAACGCCTCCAGGTCGTCCGATGTGGGCGTGTCCTCCTCGCCGCCACTGATGGGATCCCGGTCGCCACCGCCACCCATGTGGTGGTGGATGTGCAGCTGGGGCGACTCGCCGCGCAGCGCGTGGTGCAGCGGCGCCACACTCTGGTGGTGCGCTGCCGCGGCCGCATGGGCCGGGTGGTGCAGCATGCCGTTCATCGCGTGGTGGTACTGCAGCGGCGAACCGCCCGTCGACGCATAGTGGCCGGCGTGGGGGGCGTGCCAGGCGGCGTGGGGCGAGGCCATGCCCTGCTGGATGCGCGTCTGCTGCGAGAGATGCGACATCTCCTGCTTCACGGTGTCCGCGGCCGAGGCCACGGCGGCGGCGGCGGGATGGTGGTGCGTGTGGTGCGTTTGCAGGGACCACGGATCAGGATGCAAGGCACTCCATGAACCCAATCCCGAGCCGGGACCCAGTCCCCCAAGCCGGTGCCGTTGCCCTGGCCATTCGGCGACGGCGACGAGGGCAACTGGTGGTGAGCGGCGGCCGCTGCGGCGGCATGGTGGTGATGGTGGTGCTGCATGTACTTCATCTCACCGGCGTCCGCCGCCGAGCGCGGCGACGAGGTGTGGTAGCCGCCGCCGCCGAGCGCCATGTCCAGGTCGCCGCTCGGCGGGGTCATGTACGAGGTCGCGGCCATCCCCACCGCTCTGGGGCTGTTCAGGCCCTCCACGCTGGCGGGGTAGGGCTCCAAGTTGGGGCTCAGTTTAACGACTTTGTACACCGATCGATCGAAAGGAAGACCAGGGTCCCTATGCTCATTCCACTCGAACCGTGAGGCAACCGTCTTGACGTCTTTTACGGGCAACGTGGCAGGCGCAAAAATCTTCTAAATCTTTTCCTACGCCTTTCGGCGTATTTATATGCTTTTTTTATTTTTTATTTTTTTTTTGTTTTTTGTTTCGGGGGCGTGGCCCTCGAGCGCGCTCAACAAGTTTGTTCTTAACGCAGAAAATCCGACGGCAAATTCACGTTTTGTTTTAGCTTGACTAGCAGTTGGCTAAGATTTTTTTATTTTATTTGGTTATTCTTTATTATTTTTTTTTTCAGAATTTTGTTTAGCACTCTCTTAAACACTTGGCACTTTTTGTGGCGAATTTCGCTTCGGCAGAAATATCGCTTTTAATCATAATAGAACTGAGTGGTCAAGACGCGAAACTTTGATTCTGATTCTGATTCGGATGCAGATTGAGATTCAGATTCGAATTCAGATTGAAAAGCGAGTGTGTGTGTTTGGATTTCTTTTTTTTTCTTTTTGTATTTTGTTTCAGTGGGCTGACCGATTCGAAGCCGATTGAGATTGTGTGTTTTGAGATTGAGAAATTCAAGACAGCCGAGAGCCCAGGGAAATTCACGTGCAGACTCGTAGAGCTATCGAAGTGAACTAACGTCATGTCTCGCACGGCAGCGCTACGTTGAGCGCTCTCGACGCTCGGCGGCCCGTCACACCGACACGGCGACGCACACACATGCGCCGGCTCACGCACACACCCCGGCGAGCGGAACCAGTTTGTCCGCTGGCCTTCCAGCCTTCTGCGGGTGCGAGCAGCACAGCCAGCAGACCGACGAGCGAGATGGCTGCAGATCCATCGACTGGAAGGGAGACTTGCGCTCTATTGGGCTCGCCGATTTCCAGCGTTACGCCCCCAAAGCGAAAAAAAGAGTGGAAAAAACATAGACACACCGAGCCGGCTCTGCGAAGAGTTTCCTCGTTGCAATGCATTCCCATGCAGAGTGACATTTTTAATTGCCCCGTGCGAGAGCGAGAAAGCTGCGCATCAACGGGAATAAGGAGTACTTGGTAGTAGAGATACTACCCCGTTGGAGCTTTTCCATCCAGGACTTCTCTCTCCCTTTGGGAGCTTTGTTTCAGTTCCTTGCAGCTCCTTGGCCAGACAACTTTTGCCCCCGTTTGTGAGTGTGTGTGATTCCGAGAAGGCGAGAAAGGGAGCAAATCCGGAGGGGTTGCCATTGCGATTCCGAAAACATATTAGTAACATATCGTGGAAAAGGAATTAACCAAATAAACCCCACAAATATTTACCTTGTTATCAGTGAGCTTGAAAAGCATTTCGGCCTAAAATGTGTACTATATATACAAGCAGACTCACAAATAAATTGTGACAATAACATTTGTTTATCAAAAAACATTTAAAAAGGTTTTACAATAAACAAAACATATCATTATTTCCTTATATACTATAGAAAACATAATAAAAAAAATTGCAACCAAATTTTATTTATTACATTTACTTTAAAAAGTTTAGAAACTCAACATTGAATCATTATATGAAAAAATTTATGCAATACTATTTGGTGGAGCTCTTGTCGTTTTCTTTTTGTTATGAAAATCAGTTTCTTTTGTTTTCCGGAAAAAAAGTGCCTTTCTTTTGGCTTTAAAATCACTTCTTTTACCTTTGTTGGCATGACTGTGTTTTGACTAGTTTACAGTTAAATTATGTCTCGCTGACAATAGTAATCTTTATCTGTCAGCTTCATTGATTCTATGGCCAGTTTGCGAAATTGCCGCAAAAGTCGCAACCAATTTGCATAGCTAAAGGTATCGCCAACGTTATAGTTTGGAAACAAATAAACCCCCTTTGTCTCTCAGTGTGCAGCTATGATTTTGTTGATTTAGTGGAGCGTTACGGGACAAGGGAAGAATCAATCGGAAAACATCATAAAGATAAAACAATGAGTGAATGGATTTGGAAACAATCAACAGATCTTTAAGTGTTGTTGCACTTTTCACTAAGCGGGAATCCAGTTTCCCCTTTCTAAAAAACTTCCATATATTTTTAAATACATATAATTCACTATAAACTGGAGTACACTTTATGGTATTATAGATTTCCTGCCCTACATAATTTCTCCACATAATATTCACTCACACCACCACCCACCATTAAATTCTTAACATAGTTATAGACCTCTTTTGAGGCAGGTCAAGAGCTCAATCAAAAATTATGCAAACTAAGGTCATCCAACCGAGCAGACGCAAGCCAGACAAGTTCAACCGTATTTGCATGAAATTTGTTTACGTTTTTTCCTTGACCATATCCTTTGGCCACGCACTTGGGCATAATTAATAAGCCAAACCGTTTCCATCCCAAAAACCCAGTGACAAAATAAAGTCACAGTCACTCTCGCTCACTCATTGTTCGTCCTTAGACAAAAATTTACATGATAATTAGGTGGCGGCGCTAAATAACAACAGCGAGCGAGAAAAAAAACAGTATTTAAATTTAAAATGTTGAAGGAAAAAATCCTGTTTCTGCCGGCCATCCTCCCTCGGTGAATCTGTCTGTTTTTTTTTGTTTTTGTATTTTTTCCCACTCCTTTCGACGGCATATGCTAAATGCGCACGCGCCGCGTTTTTCGGTTTTTGTGGCCACGAAAGGACTTGTTGCATAATTATGCTCCGCATGCGAGTAAATAAAAAAAAAACAGCGATGGTAAAAAATGAGAAGGAAAAGAGATAACTAAGCACTGCGTTTATGAATGGAAGATATCTCGTGGTGGCCGCGGCCACGGCGCCGTTGATTTGGATGATAATGAGGCCGATTAGCATTTTGGCTGCATTTTTATATGGCCATCTATCCGCTCCGACTCCGACTCCGTATCCATCTCCATCTCACACCTCGTTCAGTGGCCGCTTTTGGGCGCACTTGTTTATAATTATTAGCATAATTTCTTCTTATATCGCATTAATTTGTTGTCTGGCCAGCGAGAGCGAGCGAGACAGGAGAGACCCAAAAACCTCGTCGTCTGCTTTGGTAATTAAAGTGCCATAATTTCCGAATCAAGACATATAAACGGGTCTGCTTTTGATCGCTTTGTTTATCGCGCAATACAATTAATGCACACACACACTAAATATGCGAATTTCTATATTTGTAGCGTGAATACAACGCGCCGGCTAATTTGTGGCAAATGCAAAGCAATTTTATTCGCTTAAGCTGTATTTAATGCAGCTGAACAGGATTTTGGGTAAGAAGAGCATTATTTTATTGGGCTGCCCAAAAGCGGAATTGAGTCAGTGGGAGTAGTTTTATTGAAGTGCCAATCCGTCGTAAATCAGCATTAACCCGACCGTACGTAGTAGAGCCATTTGTGACTTCATTTAAAAATAACATGAAAAGAAGATTGTGTAGATATCCGACCACTATCCTTAAAAAAAGACTATCCTATAAACACCAAAAGCTACCTCAACTTTTGAACAGATAATTTGATCTCCTTTATAATTGTGTCCCTCTAAGCCCCAGTTGATTTTGAAGGTAACCCAAGGAGAATCGATTAAAAATCTTGCATACAATTAATCCTGACTGTCAGTCCTACCTACATCATCTTCAAAGTAAATTTCATGCAAATAATCCTTGCATCCTAGCCTCCCAACCCCTTTTTACCCTAACTTACCCCACCCCTTTTCCAAACTATCTATTTTGCTCATTTGCAAACAAACGTTTCATTAGAAAGACATCGAAGGCATCATCAACCTCAGCTGCAATCCATTTGCGTAAAAAAGGAGCCTCGGACAACTCGTTACCATATGCCCGACTCGCTATCATTTTTTGCGCGCCAAAAAAAAAACTCAAACACTTAAGAAAACAACAGGATAGAAGGAAGATCCGAAGATCCGAGGAAGAGACCGCCGAAGACAACCCTTGAGCAACCCTTTATTACGTTTTTGGCAAGGTCAACTATCGTGTAGGCAAATTGCATATAGGCAAATGCGAGTCTCCCCGTGGATGCAACCCATCCATTTATCATTTTTTTTCTTCCTTACTTTGCCTTGCGACCTCCTGCAATTTCAATTTTTGCAATTTTGCATGCAGCGGCCGTTAAAAAGTCTCTGCCATGCAATCAGAGCGCTTATCCTTTGGGCCCTCGGCTTGAATCCTTTCACTTTCGCTACCTACCAAAAGCCGAGACAAGCTGGCAGGGCAACCCAGAAGCGAACCGAGTTTGCCAAATTCCAGCACACACAAACACTCACACACACACACTCTCGCTCACACACGCACTGGAAACATCCTTGCTGTCATATGCAAATTAGCCCAGCCAAAAATAGAAAATTTCTGCGTCCCGCCAAAAAATTTCGGAACGGGGAAAGGAACGAAAGAAAAAATAAAAAAATAAAATGCGAGCGAAGCACAAAATGGCAATTGTTGTCCAAAGGGTAACGGGTAGAAGCGCCCCGTTTGGGTTTAAATGCATTTTTGGTGCGCCTCATTGGCTTTTGGCATTGAAGCCCGACGCCCAACTGTCAATGAGACCGCGCAAAGGGCAAATATGCAAATTAGTTAGCATTTTTCCCTTTTATTTATTAACTAATTTATCTCTGCGGCTCTGTGACACGTCCCATAGGCAGAGCAAACCCGTCAGGGTCGTGAATTATTGGCGAACGCCATAGAGGAGGTACGAAAAAAGCGTTGCAACACCTGGACACAATTTTTTGTACTTTTTATTATTTTGTGGGGTAAGCGTCGCTTTCAACGCTCGTTAAGTAGTTAAGTAGGTTATGGTAGAGCGGATTAAATAGGCTAAAATCACGTATACAATGAAAAACAAGACTGACTTGCCTAGAAATACTTTACATTTTTGTTGTAGAATGTAATGGTAAATTTTAAACTATAACCAAAATGTATTTTATAAGTTTAATTGATATTTTAAAACAAAAAAGATATGTTAACATTTCTAGTTTTGTTTAGTTTTACTGTTTATTTTTCTTGCATCTCACATTATAATTTTTATGACGATCTCATCATTTTTTTCAGCCCACCGAAAAGATCTTGTTCAACAACAAATTAGTTGGTATAAAAAAATATAACCCACCATAAATCTATACTAATATTATAAAGAGGTAAAATTTGTTTGTTTGTTTGTTTGTTTGTTTGTTTGTTTGTTTGTTTGTTTGTTTGTTTGTTTGCAGGGAATAGGCTCCGGAACTACTGGTCCGATTTAAAAAATTCTTTCGCCGATAGAAAGCGATATTATCGTGGAGTTAAATAGGCTATAATTTATTTTGAAAAAAAATAGGGATCCGTAAGAAAATTGCAATATTGTCGCATATAAAGTGAGTTGCTACCTCATCACACTGACAAACACGCTCCCTTAGCATTTTAACTCAATTTTTGTGTTCACTGTGAAATTGTGAAAAAAAAAGAATTTTTATTCAATTTAAGTTGAACTGTGAAAATTATGTGGATCGTGCATTTGAGGATAAATTCACGACTGTGTCCATAGTCCAAAATGCTTAGAGGACGACGTGCAAACATTGGCCGCAGACATCCAAGCCAGTTTTGTGACAAGTATATTCACAAAACTTAAGCGAAGAAAGACAAATGAGCACATGGAGATCATTGGCATCATTCAATCGCATGGCATTCCAATATGACC